AAAAAAAAAAAAAACAAAGACAAATCTCTGAGAATTTGAAGAGATACTTCAAAGGACCAAGGGAAGACACCTTAAGGTTTTTTTTTTTCCTTACTTCAAGTCTCCATTAAATAGTGATTTAACATTTTATAAATTCTTAAGTTTAATATATTAATGATAATCTGCTTAAAGTCAAGCTACATTGCTCTTTTCAAGGATCTCTAAGGATGACAAATGATAAACATGTGACTATATTTTCCTTATTTTGTAAAATGTCTAATTTTAGCTAAATATATTTCACTGGGACACATTTGAAAATTCTTAGTTAAGAAAAATAAGAGATCCAACATATCTTCAGATCAAATCTTTCTGTGCTGAAATATATAAAATATTTGTTTGGTGAAAGTGGTGTGCTGAACTTTTACAAATTATCCAGGAACAAAGCTTATTTATTTAGAGAAGTTCAAACTTAAAATGTAGCAAACCAGAAATCAATTACTGAATGCTTTGCAATCTTGTTTAATATAAGTGACATACAGAGTGGGGATAGAAGATGATTTTGCATTGACCCTCGTACCACACAACTACAGGAAGAGTTCTATTCTCTGATTGTTAGCTCAGAAATAATTTAGTTTAGGATTTTGGGACTGAAGACTTCAGTTCAAAGATCACATTTATTTTTATGCCAGTGTTTTATGAAACCCTGCTAATATTTTATGAATATTAAAATGGAGAATGGAAGAGCTGAGTTTTAAGAGTCTTTAACAGATAAACAATCAGATAGGAAATAGAAAATTAACATTAAGAAAATGCTATGGAAAGTGAGAAGAGCTGGAAATAAAGAAATAAGGACTATTTGGTACTACGAGGTGAAGATTTCTCAGATATCCTGAGAGTTTTTATGCACTGTAAAATACTGAAGATATAGTCCACGAATAATGCATTTGCGATGATTTCTCCTTGTGTGGATTGCCGCTTCTGGAAATCAGTAAAACTAAAGGACGAGTGGGAAAAGCTATCAGCCTACTACTAAAATCTACCGAATCCACTAAAGCCTTGAAAACATGCAGCATCTAATCATGGCAATTTCAAACATGTAATATGAGTAATAGAAAATGTATCTCATAGTTGTTAATATTAAGAGCTCCACTGAGTTCATGATGGAACCTTTTTAAAAATCGCAGATATGAGCAGATCTATACATTATTCAAGTCTTCAGCATTGTGTGTACAAGAAACCACGACATCACAAGGGGCATGCTGGTTCATTGCATGGCACAACTGTCCTTTCTGTTTTGATTGCATGTCCTACTTTAAACCTGGAAAAGTGTGTAACCCATACCTGCGTGTCCTAAATACGGTATTTGCGTCTGATGGTGTGTTTGAGTTCTTTCTGGCTCTTTTCTAGCAAAGTTCAGTCCACAGCTTTCTTCATTGGAGAATTTGTGAAATAAAAGTGAGTTAATTTGTGTTACATGCTCTCTTAAATAACCCACCACCTGCAAATTGCTTGGTCAAGGCTAAAAAAATAGAAAAGTTAAAGAAACATATGAATTGATCCTGGTTCCATTTAATGGGTTTAAAATACATACATAGATGGATAGATTAACTTTGGTTTAGCCTTTATATTTTTCAGAATTATTACACAGCCAAAATTTGAAGATATATCCATTTACAAAATTCAAATATGTAATTATAGTAACTATTCTGCAAATTTTATGTGTATTAGCAATGTAAGTCCCTAAAAATCATTACAACAAAAGAACAAAGTGAACAATGGATTGAAATTTGGAATCTTTTGGAAACAGTCACTTCCACAGCTTTGTCACAGACCAGATGTTATTTCTTTTTTGTGGTTTCAAAGAAGAATGAGTGCTAATGAGGAATTTAAATTATATATCATAGTATCTAATATGATATTAGACATGGATATTTTCAAAAACTAATTCATGTGTTTCTCAGTTGAAGTTAAGATCATAGAGCAAGAATAAAATCTTATTTCTCTATAATTTGCCTCATCTCCCATCTTTAACATTCCCCAATCTTTCTTCTCTAACATATTACAGATAGCAAAATTAACCACATCCATAGTGTGTCTATTAAATTCATTTCCTTGTAAGTTTTCTGAAGTTTGCAGTTTTTTTGAATCTGCCTCAACTAAATACCTAAACAGAAGAAAAGACTTAGGCATGGGGTATACAATACATCATTTTATCTAGCAGATTTGGCTAAAGAGGCAGATATTTTGTCATAAAATCTATGGTAATTTTGAGATTACTGGATCTAATAGTAGAACTTCAGATACCAAATCAGGAAAATAATCAAATGGTTCTTGTAACTGCCAAATCATTCATATTTATAATTAGAGAATCACTGACATTTTGCTTGTATCAGATTCTCAATCAGAAAAATAAACCAGGTGGCTCACTTATAACTTTGAAAGACAAGAAAAATATCAACTGTATACTTTTTTGCATAGAGGGGATTAGTTATGTGCAGTGCTTCTGAGTCAGAAATGTGACTTTGACCAACAGGTTGAATCTTTGTAAGAGTATTGCCATGAAATTTCATTCTTCCTCGTGTTCTAATCCCCTTTTTCACAGCACAGCATTTTTTATATAAGATGAGATTTTTTTTTTAAGATTTGTAGATGCCAGATAATGATGATATAAGACTCCAAGTTAAAGGGTTTTACTGTTTAATTTTCCTCATTGATTTAACTCAAAATGTTGTCTTTAGGAGCTATACTTTTTCCACTGAAACTCTGCTTTTTGAGAAAGTTGAGCATTTATTATTGAACTCCTAATTGAACAGTTTTTGTGAATTTGGAATGCCACGGAAGAACTTGGATTCCACTTGCTTTCTGCTGGTGGCAGTGTTGGCAGCGGTGGTGATGATGGTGGCGATGCATTTGACGTCAGCAGCAAACACGCGCTACATGTCCACCAGTGGTCCATGTCCACAACCTAGTGCTGGGTTTTCTTACTTCAAAATGAATTGGATCTTAGTATTTGGAAAACATAAAGTGTCTCTATAGTAGTATTGATGGCCATGATTTGTAGTTTCTTGGTTTCATCTGAAAAAAGGAAATTTTCATCAATATTCAACATGAAACATATGTAGAGAACTTATACCCTGTAAAACTACTATCTGCAGAAGAAAAGAATGTTATCATTATCTTTGAAGTTTTTATGATTTTCTTATTTCCTGCTCTAGAACCTTGATAGCATCCTAGTCTCTTGGTTCAAGGTGAAGGTCAAGGTTCAAGTCTCTTGGTTCAAGGTTGTTTTCGTCTTGTGTTAAAATATTTTCCTTGTGTTTTTATGAACCATGAGTGAGAAGATTCTCAAATGGTCCTTCTTCATAGAGAATTCTGCTATAGCAGATGATTTTTAGAGGAATCAGTACACTTCCTTGTACAAATACAGCAAGCATTTCTATAAGCTGTATATTTTTACTACAAATAGTCCCCACTCTGCACTTCATCTGACTTGTAGGTAATGATAAAACTAACACAGGGTAAAGAGATTAATCAGAAAGATTAATACCTCAGTATTCACTGAGAATTTTTTAACAATAAAGAGAAGACATTTAAAATTTTTTTGTTGGGGCTGAGAATTTAGCTCAGTGGCAAAAGCGCCTGCCTGGCATGTGCAAGGTGGTGAGTTCGGTTCCCGGTACCGGAGAAAAACCAAAAAAATAAAAAAATAAATTTTTTTTTTTGTTGTTAATAGTTTACCTTACTCAAGAGACTAATGATCTTAGGCATTCATCATAAATCTCCAGAACATTACTTAAAACATTTGCCCATAAATACCTCTTATACAACAAAATAGCTTGAAGAGTATGTTTCAGATGGATATTTAGCAGGAAGATACACCAATAGCCATCACAATATGCCTCAGATTTCTCGGTTGAAAGCATTTGTAGACCTTGATGGGAAAGATTATCTATCTAGAAGTAGGGACAACTGTAGGACGCCACCAAAGCAACAGACTTTTAATGTATTTGAATGGAAAGATTATTATATACCCTGTAAAGTTAAATATCTCCTCAAATCCCACCACCAGAATGAACAATTGTGAATTAGGAGACTCGATGTGTATTTCCCATTAATAATTAAGGTATTTCAAGCTTTCCATTCCATTTAAAATATACTGTCCCATTTCTTTTTTTTGGTTTTGTTTTTTTTGTTTGTTTGTTTTTTGGTTTTTCTCCGGTACCAGGAACCGAACTCACGACCTTGCGCTTGCCAGGCAGGCGCTTTTGCCGCTGAGCTAAATCCCCAGCCCCACTGTCCCATTTCTTCACACAAAAAATACAGTAAATGAACACTCACTAGAAAGACTGTTTGAATGTTAAAGGTGCTTCCATAGCTATGTGTGTGTGAAAAACAGTTCTTGTCCTGTGTAGCTGTTGCTGGAATCTGTTTGCTGTTTAAAGAACTAAGACATGTTACATTTCCTCTAGAAAACAATGGGCCCCCTGTTCCATCCTGGAGTGAAAAGATAACGAAAATGCTTTATTTCATTTACAGACAATGCTAATGAGGAAGAGTTGGAAAAGATCAAGTAAGGTAATTCTTAGCATGTGATCTTTGAGCTTTTCTTGTCGAGAAGACTCTTGACCGCTTTTCCAAATCCCTCTCATATCTCTTCAAGCAACCTCAGATTTTCACTACTATTCAATTGTTATTTTTTTCTCCATAAACTGTAAGCAAATCATGCAGTGCTTTCTAAATAAATAGAAATCACACTGATCAAGAGCATCGAAATCATCCTCTTGCTAATCTCTGGTCACTTCTAAACATCATGCTCACCATCTGCTCTCTTATGTGTACAACAGGGTCTAGAAAAGCACTGTGCCGCAGGAATGAAATGATTAGGCTTGGGCAGAGACACCTTCAGACAGAAGAAAGACCCGTAAAATTCGCTGCTTTTGGTCACAGACAATTGACTATGAGGTTCTCTAAGCTCCAAAATCCTGCTATCAGAGCCTTGGAGCATACAGTGAGAACAGTTCTCTCTCGGTGCTTCTTCTTTGGTTCCTGTAACCTAAGCCCTGGCTCTTCTTCTGACCTGTAAGATACCTAAGATGAAAACTGAACTTCTAAGTTATACACCCTTGGATATAGATAAATATCAAGATGAAATCAAACTTTTAAATGAATATGCCTGGAAGCAAATCAAACAAATTTTATTTGTAAAATTCATGTTTGCTCAAAACTCTACTTCAAAAGTCAGTATTCCCTTTGGAAAGTGACTCATTTTTTTAGACCCTGGAACATGGCAACCTTTTTTCTTCCATTCTGATTGAATCATGCTATCCTAGATTTTTTTTTAACTCTGTCATTTTTAATTTATTGTAAATTAAGAGAATACTTACATTAAAATGTTTTTTTTTATATTTGTGGTAATGTCTTGGTGTGTTTTAACAAGTATTTCTCATGTAAAGTTCCTTTACAATTCTTACAACATGAATGACTAAAAGATAACTCATATAGGAATCAGAACCCAAAAGAACATCTATTCGAGAAAATTTCTGGGCAGTTCTGAGCTGGTATTCACTGTATTTTACTAAATAAAGTTTCAAGAACATTTTTAAAAGTTTGTACTTTTCATAATTGTGTTACTATTTTTCTTTGTAATCATACTTTACAAGTAGTACTATGAATCTATGTATTTTTAAATGCATGTAATTGACTTTCATCACTCTGTACCACTGTCAATGCATTTGTGTGAAAAAGAGCGATCTATTAATAATATAGTGATAACCCTTTTCCAGATGAATTTAACATGCTTTGCCAGAACAGAATATGGTATGATATTTAGTATTACTGGGAATTATCTTTTTATGATAGTATTTACTAAGACTCAAGTATTCTTTTATAAAATACATATAATTTATCTTTAAACTTAATCTTAATAATAATGAAGTAAAAATAAATCCACATAATCTCCTTCAGTCTACAAAAAATTTTAAACGAATAATAAATACTTATTTTCTACTACTAGTAATAATCCATTTATGCATTTGAATTGGTATATTTTCAAGCTTGCCAGTGAAGATACAAAATCCCTCAAACTCAGCACTTGCTTGCATACTTGGCAGAATATAATTAGTACATGTGCTAATATTACTTCTATACTTTAGTCTAAGGGATTTCAGTTTGGCAAAATTCAGTGTGAATATTGAATGCTGAATGGATTTAAATCAATTCATTCAGCAGATTTTTTCTGTGTGAATATAGCGAACACCTGCTAATTTATTCAAAATTTCACTGTGCCTTAAAACGTTTGCCACATTCATTCACATAAGTGTTACAAGAGCACAGTGTTAAATTAAAAATACAGGGATAGCTTGCCATTTCTTCTACTACCTTGTTCATCCTGAAAACACACACACACACACACGCACACACACACACACACCACAACCACCACCCCCTCCCCAAGTGGAATACTTTCCTCCAGTGAACTGATCTAGTAAACTATGGCATAAGTGACTAGACTGTGTAGCTACACATTTTACTGTGCTTTTCTTTGGTGGAAATGCATCCCTTTCCTAATTATTTTGATCTTTCCCATAAGATTCTTATCTTAAGGATTTTTCCACTACTAATTTTGAACAGGATATATTTACATCACATATAAATATGGGTATTTATATGAGATTACAACTTTGCTCAAAGTCCAAGGTAAATTTTTTATATAAACTCGAATCATTTTCTTCTTGAAATCTTGATTTACAGGAATGAAATCTTTTGTGTTTTTATGGCAGGACCAAGAATACTTAAGATGAACATATAATCTTAGTAGAAAGCCTGGAAATGTAGCCAGGCAATTTTGTTCTAGGTTCTCTACAGAAGACAATTTTTGTTCTTTGACTTGGTTTCTTTTAGAAGTAATGTAAGTACAGAGAGGGAAATCTAAATTGGCATTATTTTTTAACATATATGTCTCCCTTGTTTGTACATATGTTGAATCACCTCCTGGAATGTCCCATTACTTAAATATTTGCTTGTCATTGTCTTCATCTTGACTGCAAAATGAGATTTCTTTTCATGTTTCAGTAACCATACTTCTGCCAATCATAGATTCTCTCAGTGTAAATCTTCTTATTTGTGACACAGAATAGGGATTGTATTTACTAGGGAAATCAAGGGAATATACAGCTTCATGACAGAGAAATCATATTTGCTCTTCAGAACCAACTTACATATTGGTATTTTGAGTAAATATGTAATACGTGTTCCGTGTAATATGTATTATCTCTGGAGATGAAGAATGAGTAAAATATATGCTATATTTGAATAGTATGAATATAGTAAATATTTATAACTTCCATAATGTCTCCTCTTCTGAGGACTGTAACACCCTGTAAAACACTTAGTCTGGTTTTCCTCTAGTATGCTTTCCATCATTCACATATGAAAATCTGCCCCACACTTGGTTGTAACGGAAGAATGTTATTTTGAGAAGAAAGTAATCAATGCCTCCCTAAACTTGGACAACTGGATAATTATCCTGGTCGGAGGTAAAAAATGTGTTTAGGCAGGGAAATGGTAGCTCTTTGAGTTAGTGCAATATTTCATTCTTCAGAGGCAGCTTATCATTGATAATTAATTCTAAGGTTAAATTATTCATCAGGAAAGTTTTGAAGACTCAAAGGAAAGATTTATATGTATTTTGTGAGGATAAACTGATCATGGAAAAATGTCAAAAGAGTAGTTAAAAAATGAAATAATTGGCTCCATCAAATACTACACAGTTTTGACATTCCACAGTAATGTTGGTGTATATGGCACACAGTACCTTTGTCTGTGTTTTAACCCAGAAGAAAAAAATTTGTTCATAGGTTGGGGTAAGATAACAATAAATTTGTATGTTTTAATAAATTATCTTATTTGTATGGGATATACTAGCATGATAACATGGAGATACGCACATTGCAGTTCATACACTTGACCATAACAGATAAGAATTGTTTTGTTTAAGAAAAGTTCACCCTTTGAATAATATAATATAGACTTCTGTGATGGTGTCTCATTATCATATCTCCTATTACTTAACGGCTTAGGCCTTTTTTTAGTAATACACCTTTTCACAAAGATTTTATTAAAATCACTGAGCATAATTTTAATGAACTATAAAACACTTTATCCATTGGTTGAATGAAGGAATTTTTAATAAGACTTTTTGCAGAGATATTGTTAAGCTAAACCAAAGCACACTCAGCTCCAAGTCTACAGGGCATAGTTAAACCTGACACCTTGGATGACACATTAAAAAATGCACCCATGGAAACTTGTAAGTGCTATAATTTAAGTAGAGGAGGAGAAACAGATTAGCACATTTTAAGTGTCTCACACAGTCATTCAGACATGATAAGAAAAGATATTTAACAATTATCAGATCCTTTTACAAAGACTTCGAATTCCTGATAGATTGGTGATTTTTTTTAAAAGCTGCCCAAATAAAACTTCAATAGTAATAGACTTTCTCAACTGTCAGTGGCCAAAATGGTTTTTCTTTGGCATGTAGTTCCTAAAGATTATGGGCATGTCCTTGAAAAAATGATATGCACACATGTTTTTGAAGGAAACATGAACTTTTATTCAAAAACTCCTTACTTTACCATTATTTTCCTACTGAACCTGTGCTATTTGGGAAAACTATCAAGTTATGCTCATAATTAGAACTTCTGAAATTCCAAAATGCAGCAGTGAGCAAATGTTGAACAGGAATGAGCAGTTCTGTTATAAAGGAGTATACTCTGACTCTAGTTAACCAAACTCCTGAAATTTGGAGGAAATTTATTTAAGAAGAGGCGTTACTATCATGCCAGTAAATATTTGATTATCCCACAAGGTATTTGAGGACATAATTGAACTTTACATTGAGATGATCTTTTTCTTACTTTTTGACACTATTTCCCCAAAGGCATAAAATTACACTTTCACATATTGTAAATTCATAACTACAGGGATTTGCTATAACAATAGCATTGCATTTATTTGACCACCCCTCATGTTGAACTTTTTAAGTGTTGTGGGTCCTTTGGGAGGGCAAATCTGGATAAGCAGACATAAAATGAAAGGACAAAAGGGAATCTGAAACACAGGATATATTCCACAGCTGCTGTGTCCAAGGTTTGTGATATTTATTGTGTGACCCCTGATTAGCCTGCAGGTCTGCAGTGTGTGTTTCTTACCAAAGGTAGCCAACCATTTCCCCAAGATCTTTCTGAACTGACCAAAGAGGGAGAACTAATAGAATGGGGCTACAAGATCATGGAACTAAGGGCTGGTTCCAAAATTTACATCTTTTTCATTTAAAAGATAGATGATCAATAGGTAGAATCTACCTATCCATTGAATACAACTAGAAGGAGACTTACTAGTTTTAATGTACTTTAAATGTTCACAATGGCAACAATTCATAATTAGTGAGGCCTCTATTACCAAAACCCTGACTGACATAATTAAGGATAGGCTCTGTCAATATCTTAAGTCATTGTTATTGGGTAGGACGGAAGCACCAAGAGCCATGGCTTTGAGAAAAATGATTGCAGCTCGACCAGCAAAATTGTGTAAGTGATTTACTTGTGTACTTCATCACCTCTTAAGTGTACAAAGTGGCTCTGATAAAGGGAAATTGTGCTCGTGTAAAAGCATGATGGTGTGATCAGGAATGCCATCTGGTCTCTTTTTTGAGTCTTGAAAAGTTATATAAGAAGTCTGCTAAAACTATACATAAACATACACATTTTATCAGTTTGCCGTACTGATAAATATCTGCGAGCTAATGGCTACCACTCTGAGCAACTCTTGTAACTGTAGAGACTAAAAGCAACTTGTATTCATTTCAGAATATCTCAATACACTTAGTATTAAAATATTTATAAGAAGTTTTTCTTTCCCTGAAGTGTGCATACATTTTTGGTGGACTCTGTATCATGCTTCAAGGCCGATACACATTATGGCTATTTTTGAAATACCATTTTTGATAAAAGTTTAGTGACTAATACTTATTACATCTGATAACAAAGTTGTAAGAGATTTCTATGTTTTATTCTATGGACAGTTGAAAAATACTACTATAGTTATTTGTTAGACAAAAGCCCATTATTTTAGTCTTATTTCATAAGGAAAAATATATTGTTTGCTAGATTTTTAAATTTAAAAACATGATTAATTTTTAGATTTATAAGTACATTCTTTGTCTTTGAGAGCAAATTTTCTTAGACTCTATTATATTCCCGGAGGCAAAATAGATAAAAATAAGGTAGAGTCAGTAGATCTTAATATTTTAAGAAGCTAGAAACCTTAGCAGAAACAATTTAACAATTATTAGTCAGAGTAAAATATGATTAAGTTTTAGATTTACAGTGAGATTCTTTGTCCTTGAGGAAAAATTTTCTTAGAATGTGTTATACTTTTAGAGACAAAAATAAATTTAAATTAAGATACCCAACTCATTATGCTAATGCCTTGTGTATTATTATTGTTGCTGCTGCTTCTGTCATTAGCATCAGAAATTCTAGTGAAAAGAAAGCCTTGGCTGGTCTGTGGAGAAGTTCATGCCACTGCAGAACGATAAATGGCGCCAGAGTACACAAAGAACTTTATTTCACTTAAAATAAAAGCCTAAATTTACATGAGAATGTGGGTTGTAAAGCAAAATATAAATTTTACTTATAAAATTACTGATACATTTTAAGAGGCATAAACTTCAATAGTGAATGACAGAAGTAATTAAATATGGCAGGAAAATTACACATTAGGGCCTTCAGTGGAACTCAAAGAGGCTAATATTTTTATTTCTCAAATTTTTACAGAGAAGGCTGAGTCCTAAATCTTGACCATTATTATTCTCACCCCACCCCCCGACTTGATGAACCTTTTTTCTCAGTTTGTTTTTTTTTTTTTTCTGGTACTGGGAATTGAACTCACGACCTTGTGCTTGCCAGGCAGGCGCTGTGCCACTGAGCTAAATCCCAAGCCTCTCTTTTTTCTCTTTGCATATGAAAAACACAGTTAGGTTCAATCTAATCTACTTTTATCTGAGGAAATCTTAGAAAGTATAAGGTTAATATAGCTTTAATGTTAGTGACCTTAGACTGGCTGGCACTAAATGAATTAATATTATTGTAAAATATTTGCCCTATCATGAGTCTGGAGCTAAAACTTTCTTTCCATCATGGTTGCCTTAACATATTTTATATTAAGACAAAACTTCCTCAGATGTATAACTTGTGTTAATGGCCCAAGTTATATAGAAATTATTTGTATAAGGAGATTCTAAGCACTAACTTTTTAAATGTGACCTTTGAAAATGTTTCCCACACATGGTTAAACAACATGATGGTTCTTTCAGTTAAAAATAGAT